TGTGCAAAATGGAGAGACGACACCTGTTGCAGTTCATGTGAACTATGTGCATGTAAAACATAAAGGATATAAATTACATCTCTTAGGAACACCTGTAAGGAAAAGCTTGTTAGAGAAGATGTGAAGGCCAGGGAATTCTTCAAAGTTACTAGTTTGTAAGAAGTGTTCCTCTAATCACGTCCGTTTTTATAGCTTATTTTGTGACAAGCTGAGATTCAGTAATTGTTCCAGTGGGAATAACAGCACAAACCTTTGGAAAAGCTTTACATAAAGGGACTCCGGGTTCTTCGCTCATTTGTACATGTGAACAGTGATGGAATTAAGAACTAAGAAATGATGTTTGAAAAAACAGAAAAGTTCAGCTTATGCCTGATGCAGAGATTATGACCAACCAAAAATGACCAACATTGTCAGTCACCACTGTCCACTTGTGACATGAGAAATAATCAGGATAGTGTGGTTTCAGACACCATATGACAAGCACTTCATTTCAAAGCCTACTGAACCGGGCAGGGATGCAGGGAGGCTTTAAGGAGGATCAACAATACTGATCTTACAGATACTTAGCACCTCTAGATGTCTAGAGATTGATAGCCAGTGAACTGTTTAACAGGCAAACTGCAACAATAACTTTTGAAATGCATCTTCCGCAGAATGACAGGGCAATGCGCTTATGCACATATGCTGACAGTTTTTAATAGGTTTCAGATTTTGAACTGTTTGAAATTGCTTTCTTTTGCCTTGTGAAACTTTGTCCCTGAAGTAAAAATAGTGAAGTTAAACATAGATTATATTCCTTGGGTGCAGCTAGCCTTGAGGCGAAATGCAGTAGCGCCAAGTAATTCAACCTGAAGCAGCATGTCAGCAAAACGCACTCAATAATAACAATGCTTCACACGGATGTCAATTTGAAGCTCCCGTTTTACTGAGCTGACACCTTGTTCACGGTACTTGCGTTATTTGGCAATGTAGTGCTCGATAAGGTATGCATATTCTATAGATTGATTGCTATATAAATATTGTTTATGGCGATAAGGTATTAACATCGAGAAGCATGCTTGCCGATGATTTGCATGCGAGGTTATTACAGCTACTGAAGGTGCCCTTCGGGGAAATTTATAGATACGGAAGCGAGCACAATTCCCACCCGTTTCATAAGACAGCGAATACGCCGTGAAAAAAAATATGATGTATGTTTGCACTACAATTCATTCTAGGTTTCACTGTTACCCATTAAAGAATACAATTTTCAATCCATAAATGCATACTGATATGAGTATGAATGTATCCTTCTTACTTTATCTCGCCCATATCCTGTAATGGTCAAGAATGTTATCTAGATACGCTCTTCCTCTACTTTGTCTTCATCCGTTCTCATCTATCTGTCTCAGTTCATCTCCTTTTCATTTTTGTGGCTCTGATTTACATGTTCATGTGGATGTGTGTTGCATGGTTTTCATCCTTTAATATTTTTTCTCAAACACAGTTTTTCAGTTGTAAAGATTGTTAGATTGTTAGATTCTTAGTTTGTTTGTTTTTTTCTTTTATTATCCATTTTTCCTCCAGCAGCCATTATTTTTGAGAAATCTTGTCAAGCTTTTGTTTACAATAATAATGTTTGTTTATAAGGAAATCCGGTTTAATGTCACCGGAGATTTTCATGTTTTGAGTTAAACAGATTTCAAATTGTCCTTTACATCACAGTTTAGGACAAATGTTGTTTAAAAAGTTCAAGTTCCTGATTGGAGTTGCGATTGAGAATGCAGCTTTAATTTGATGTCATTTTGACTGCGTTTTTCCACTTTCTTAATATCTTTCTAAAACACAGGAAAGGAAACATGCTTCTGACGATGTTGCGTAGATGGATGAAATTTGAAATGGTTGTCACGAGTACATGCAGATGTCACATGTATTATGCTTTAGGTTTAGGGGCCTGTGTTTATGTGTATGTATATTTGTTGGATTTCCATAATGAAATATCTCCTAGAGCGTTATTTGTGGTAGCCTTTTGTTTATGTTTACATTTGTTCACGTTTGTGGGTGATTCCGATGTTGCATGATGGTGGGTAACATGTCATGTTTGGTTTGTTATTAGGTAACGTGTCTGAATAACACATTAGTAAGGGATGGGACATGTAAATGCCAGACATGAAAATGAAATATTCATTCATTTACTCATTTAATATTCAGTAAATTCATCCTGGCTGCTATTATGCAATCTGGTGCTAATATGTTATCATAGAGGCTCTTTTCCAAAGCCACGAGTTTAATGTAAATTTGTGATCCTTTGATCATGCTTATTGATGATTCATTCTGCAGCATGGCCTGTCACAGAAAGCAGCTAGCTGCATATATCTTGTCTGATTTTCTATAACTCACAAACTTCTGCTGCAGCTGAAGACAATAAAGACTCCTGATAACTTAGTGGGGCTATATGATGGATGACTTACAGTCGAAAACTCAGTAAGAAATAGGCTGAACCCCTGAACGGAAGCTTATTTACAATTGAAAACTGCAGATATTAAAATTACCTATTGGATGGCCGTGTTTGTACGTCAGGATAAATACAATTACGGGGTTCTTTTGTGATGAAAAACCATTTAATCCGAATTTTAAAAGTACTGCGCAAATATCTCTAGCCACCCATTTCATTATGTTTTCCTTCCAGTGAGTCAGACTGTCGTGCAATATCTTAAAGTGGTTTTGAGCAACAGTTCTCCAGCTTTCTAAATTTTTTCTTTGGACATTATCTGCTTTTTTGAACATTTTCAGAGGAATGTATTTTTAATCTTTAAGCTACATAAAACTGACCTATTCAAGCACAAAAAAGAGACGCATCCATACATAACAGAAAAACTGAGCAAAGAACCAATTCCAAATTGTATCTTTAGATACTTTGTTACTACCAGCCTGTGGCAAAATCACATAATTTGTTTCTGATTTCTTTATTTAAATCTACAGAAAATGATACCGATGATAACACAGTTTGACAGGCATAATAATATTTTTGCTCCAACAAGGTGATTCCAAAACTTGGCATAACTCAGTATGGTGTGCAATGTGCCCTTAATAAAAGAAATCTGATGAAATTGAACAAGTGGAGGACAAAAGTGATATAGTACTATCTACTGGAACTGGACCTGAAAGCCATGTCCTTAAGAAAGGGGAAAAAAATATCCAGCAAAGACCTGACACAGGATCTGAGAGACACATCTGGCCCTTCAGCTTGTCAGCCTCATAAGAAATGATCTCAGTGTAAGGTGGCTGCCAAGCAGCCATTCAAGAAAAATCTAAAATATGTAAAATTATACAAGGACTGGTCTGAAAATTGTTGGAAACAGGTCTTATAGAGTGATAAATCCACATTTGACATGTTTGGTTCATACCTTCATCAGTATGTACGGAGGAGCTCAAGAGAGTTACAACAGTGAGTGTCTACAATCATCTGCAAAACACGGTGGAGGTGCCATCATGTTTGGGGCTGCATTTCAGCCCGTGGTGTCGATCTCAAGTACACTGCCAATGCAGTAAAAGCATCCCTGGATAATAAAAAACAAATTTAAATTGTCAATCATTGATTGGTCTTCCTAGAGCTGGGATTTCAACATTGTTGAAGCATTGTGGGATCATCTTGAACAGAACAAAAGGTAGCCAACATTCAAAGAAGAGTTTTGAATGTCTTTTAAGAAGCCTGGAGAAATATTCTGAAGACTATTTAAAGGAAAAGACAATAAAACTGAAAAACAGGTGGTCACACTGAGTGTTGACTATTAGAATTGAACAAACTCCGTGTTTGTCTTGTGTTGTCCAAGCAAAAAAACACAACATTGTACAAATATCTTTTCAATATATATCAAACCATTGTGTTATTTCTTTTCACATTACTGTGGATAGATAGCCAAATAGTGTGACAGTGTAACACACAATGCCTGCAATGCAACAAGGACCTGCTCAAAGCAGTGAGCAGCAGTACTGCCCCTTTTTGGGACACACAATATATTAAGAATGTCCAAAACAAACAATAAATCTCCAATATTCACTAGAAAAAGTAGAATTAAAATAAGATGCTATTTACCTTCAACTCAAGCACTATAACAGGGATGACTGGGAACCTATGCCAGCGTAAGTGCAGGTGAGAGAATACATTGCACCTCCAACAACACTCTCTTTGAATTGACAGAAGCCTGCTTCAGTTGTCAATACATTTATCAGTCTTGTCACTGTGTCTCAGTCTGTCAGTGAAGCCTAGTACGTGTTCAGCCTCTATGTAATGGGCTGAATCCTATTGCTTTTGAGAGACGAGTAGAAACTAACTAACTGGAGTCTGAAACTTCAATAAAGCAGAGCAGTGCTGGAAAAACATTTGTCACACAGCTATGACAAAATGTGCACTGAATGTCCCAGATTGTTCCAACTGTATTTAACATATGAATTGTTTTTATTTTGTTTTTAAATCCCTTGTGGTAAAAATTTAGGTGGTGTGCTAACAAAATATATCATCCTGGTTGAAATGTTGCTGAAGGCAAGATGGCTGTAAAGCCTCCTAAATATCATTTGAGATGTTTGATTTTATTTACCTGACTGATCACAGCTCTCTCCATTTCACTCCATCTGTCTGATTCTCCCCATCTTTCCCTCATCTCTCACTGTCATCGTCTGCGTTCATACCTCTCAATTGTCCCTTTACTTCATTGCTCTTCATCTACCTCCACATCTCATCTCTCACCCCACCACCACCACATTGCTCCTTCTTTTTTCCATTTATATTTCTACATTTTTTTCACATCTCTGCTTTTCCATCATTTTTCAATCCTGTTATAACTTTGCCCGTATCTGTCTTTCTCCATCTGTCATTCCCCGACCCGCTCTTCTTCTGTCTTAATCGTTACATCTTTGCATTGACTTCTCCCTATCATTTCTCTTCATCTGTTTATTTCACCCCCCAACCCCCCCAGGTCACTCTCCTAATCACTCTTTTTCTCTCTGTGTCTCCTCCGCAGCTGGTATTGTTCGGAAAAAGCAATGGTGTGAGATGGTGCCGTGTTTGGAGGACGAGGGTTGCGACCTGTTAGTCAATAGATCTGGCTGGACTTGTACGCAGCCCGGAGGCCGAGTTAAAACCACTACGGTGAGTTCAGGCTCTCTTTTAGTGCCTCAGGTTACACAAAACCACTCACAAGCTGGTCGATGTGCTTAGAAAACCAACTGAAGTGTACAAC